CACGTACGACCGAATTGGATATTAGAAGCATTAGTATCGTGTTCTATTGTGCGATGTCTCTACACCGAGTGTTCCCCTTCTTCAAGGAATTATATTTCTAAGTGGCCTGGCACACATCCAAACTGCTCAAATGTGGACCCATCCCTTAAAGACTGTTGTCTTTACCTGGTCGACACTGATTTAGGCTTGGCTTACTGTGGTTCTCCTTACTCTGGAAATACTTGGCTATTTGAATGGCTGAACAGAGCCCTGTAAGGAAATATCAGAATATACACATAATAGACCAGGCGTTAGAACCCAGAAATATGGATTCCCAGACTAGCACATTGTATGTTTTTAAAGTTCAACATGCACTTAGAGTCATCGAGGCAGTGGGTTAAAAATCAGGTTGTCCAGGCTCTCCCCCAGAGCTGGACTGACCTTCATTTGTGAGAAAGAAGAGAACGTCTTCCCGCAGAGCTTGGGGAGTAGGTGGGGTGGCACGTGGTGGGCACTCGGGCAGCGGCAGTTGGTGAGAAGCAGCTTCTTGACCAGCGTGGCTCTGCCCCTCCCCCCCCCCAGGACCCCCATTCAGTCCAGAAGGACTGGGTGATGTGTCCTGTCCCGAAACGGTGATGGTGGCGCCCCCGGGGCTGACGCTGGGTCTTCTCTTTCTGAGGCTGTTGCCCGTCTCTCTCCGGCACCTGGTGCATCCACGTGCTGGGAAGAAGGGCGGGGGACGGGTCCTCTCCTGATTCCTCAGCGCTGCTGGGCCTGGCCCCAGAGGGGCCTGCAGGGTCTCCACTCTGGTCCTCTGGGACGGGCCGCAGCGAGGGTGCTCCAGGGGTTAAGAAGGTGGGCATGGGCCAGAGAGACATGGGTCTCAGCCCATCTCATAAAGATTATGCTCTTGCGGCTGAAGTTTCCTCAATCACAGAGCAAGAGCGATTGTAGCGCGTGTTTCACTTGATCCTCTTGTGCAGGTTAATTGTATCATTCGGGAGCTGGAAGAACCTTGCAGGCGAGGCCCTCCCAGAAGTCTCTCGGTGCCCTTCCTTCACAGAACATTACAGAACCCACGGCTCAGACGCACTTTCTTCCCAGCCCTCCAGGCTTCCTTTCACGGGGAGTTTAAACCGTCCTGCCTGGCATCGTATATAGTTAGTTGCGTCCTTAACCTAAATATTTCCTCTGCCAAAAGAAGCAGTAAAAGCAGAACTGGCTTCCGTCAGGTGGGTTTCAGCGTCTTGTCCCACACCCTCTGGGACACCCACGTGCTCTTCCTGCGAAGCCCACCCTGTGCCCCTCTCTCAGAGCCCCTCCCCTTCCCCCTACCTGGAATACCGTCCCCGCACACACACACACCCCAGATCTGCCTCCTCGAGGAGCGGTTAGCACGACTGAAGGACTTCCAGGACGTGTCTGTGCTTTTAAAAACACACCGTGGCCACTGCCCACAGTCCCTGTTGGGTGAATGGATGGTGATTTGAAAGAAACAGAAATCTTCAGTCTCTGTTTGAACAAGAATGGGGTCCTCATGGCTCGGGGCGGGTTTCGGGGCCGCCAGCTGTTTTTCCTCGCAGTTTCTAATGCACACCCTATCGCTTGTTCCTGAGGCCCACAAAAAGCCGTAGGAGTAAAAGTGATTAGAGGAACTTCAGCTGTTTCGCTCCCTCTGAATAGCCCTCTTTCATCAGGATAGGCAGGGACAAGGGCCTTTTTTAAACCCAAATATCAGGGAAGGACAAGGCTTCCAGCAGAGCCGTTTGCTGTCTGGGTGGGAACGCCATCCTTCCTTCCATCAGGACGGGCTCTCTGCTGCTTCCCTGGAGGGCTCCATCCAGCCTCCTGTTCAGACATCCATCCTTCTCCAGGGAGCGGGGAGGCCAGGGGCCGGGGGCCGTTCAGATCACACGATGTGACCATGGCAGGCGGTCGGGGACCTCTTCTGTGGTGCTGACATCTGCCTCTCCAGCCAGCCACCGCCCCCTCCTCCTGCTCCTCAGAGGCTTCCAGCAAACCTAGTATGTATCACCACTGCCGATTTCTGTCTCCCTCCCCTGTCTCGGTTTCTGGGTGAAAGCTGGCTGTTGCTGCTCGGAGGGTGGGGTTTCCTGGAGGACCCTGTCTGTCTGCAGTGCCCTATACAGATTATGACCCCACGCCATCTCCCAAAACCGGCCTCTGAGACTCCTCTGTATCATGGAGATAAAAAGCGGCAAGGATGAGGGGAGGGAGGGAGGGGGGCTGAACTTGTTCTTAATCCCCTGTTGGAAACATTTCTGCTTCGTTTGCCTGCATCTGACTTCCCGGAGCTTTAGTCTAAAAAGCTGTCTTTTTGGGGACCAGTATCTTTGGGGAAAAGGCTGATTTCGCTGGAATAAGGATGGGTGGTTTATGGGTGTGTTTTCCTCATCCAGAGAGCCTAGAAAAGGCGCACCGTCCCCAAAGTGGGGGTGTCTGGAGACTGATGAACCCGGGGACCGTGTGGTGTCAGAGCGCTGGCTGCTGGAGACAGTTGCTCACATCAGCCACCCAGTGGGCGAGTGAGGCTCTGGTGAGCTCAGAGCAGAAGACGGGAAGCAGGGCCATAAAGAATATCCGTGTCTCATTTTCTTAGGTCCCATGACTGCCAGGCTCTGTGGCCTCGGGGCCCTGGGAGTCATCCAGCGAGGGTTTTTCCTCATGCCCCATCTGCTTACTGTCTGAGCCGCGGGGCCGTCTCCGAGGCTGGGGAGGACGTGTTCTCTGAGCCTCCCCGCCTGCCGCTTCGGATCTCACCCTGCACAGAGGAGGACAGAGGCACAGTGTTCCCGGGGAGCCCAGGCACACAGCCCCCTGAATTGACATGTAGCCTCAAGGTTCTTGATTCTGTAACAGCCTCAGAAATACTGAGGAGCAACGGGCCTAGAAAGCGATCACGGGATAAAACCAGCCTATTCTTTAGTGTTGTTCCTCCTCCACCCCCCTCACCCCCAAGGAAATATAAGGGAAACCAAGGGGAATTTTTGCCCATGATTTTCAAGGCAAAGGTCACCGTCAGTGGCTGGCTGTTTTCAGAGGGCTCAGGTTTCTGGTCACTATGGATTTTTTTTTTTCCTTTTTTTTTTTTTTTTAACCAGGTTGTGGGATCTTGGGTCCCCACTCAGGGATCAAACCTGGGCCACNCCTGCCAGCTCCTTCGATGAACTGATTGCTGTTTGAAGTTCCATGCGTTTTGTTGGAGTCTCTCGGGCAGCGATGAAAGTAGGTAGTAAGTAATCCATGTCTTACCTAAAACAGCATAGTTCGGAAAACAAACTCAGTTGTAAGATTTTAAGGAAAGGGTGAGTGACAGGTTTCAGGGGTAGAAAATCGTGGGGCAGGCCTCCGCCACTTGCTCGAACTAGACAGCCTGGGTTGTCTGTCGGCCAATGGATGCTAACGAGCTTTTTGCCTGCCGTGGGTAAGTGAGACTCACAGAAAGGGTGCATCTTGTTTCTTCCATAATTTACAGTCCTAGACTCCTCAGTGCCTGAGACTGGCACCACACGTACAGGACTCACAGGGTGGAAAGGGTGACTTGGCAGTATGTGACGGTGGGTGAAGAAGCACCATCCAGGTGTGAACTCTTGCCCGAAGGAAAGAGATAAAGCCAGTTGTCAGTAGGATAAGAGGGGCAGAACTAGAACCTTAACGTTTGCTTTTTGAGCCGTCGTGATTTTTTAGCGTGCGAGGCAGAAAAACAAACAGATTTCATTGGCGGTCTTCACAGTATGGAAGATAACCATTTTTTTAAAAAATTCTAGAAACTGCTGACTTGACACTGGCCCCTGCGGTGAGGTTTCTTAGCTCCTGGAGTTGTATTTTAGACTTAGCTGAATATTCTAGGATGAGAATGTTTAACTACCAACTTTAGCTGTCCTAGGCAATGATGATTTTGTTTTATGTTACACAAGATGTCTTTGTGTTTCAGTCAAGAATTGATTTGTTTTTTTGTTTTTTTTTTAAAGTGCTTCTGTTTCTTAGATATTTTTCTTTCAATCAAATATGTTAATTGGTTGCTCAAGAGAGAATGAATGATGTATATAGCTCCCTATAATTTGAACTGTGATCTTTTACAGATAAATGAATAAAAATGAAATGTTTTGCCTTATGACTTTGAAAGTTAAAATATCATTTACAAAAGTTAATATTTGCTCAATACAGTAAATTTGGAAGATGCTAAGAAGTAGAAGGAAGATAACCTTAGCACTATTAATAATTTTGGTGTGTCTTACGTGTAGTTTTCAGAGATGATGGTTTTTTCTAAGTCATTGGTGGTAATTAATAGCTGATATAGTCTGTCAGTTCATACAGGCTGGATTTCTACATAAGCTAAAGATTTTCTTGGTAGCCAAGTCATGAAAGTGAAATTTTTATTGTAATTCTTAAAATCACATGTTGACTATGGATATTATTGCCTGTTAAAGTAACAAAGACCAAAGATTCCCTCTGCTGAGAAGTTCACTGGGTTAACTCGAGCTTTTCTATGGGAACAGTGGACACAGCCACCGTTTTTCTTAAGATGCAAACAGATTGTGAAAGTGTGATTTCATCTTCCTTATGCTCTGTAAACTGAGGACACCAGGAAGCAGTGAGGCTGTTAAAAAGTTCAGAGCGCTGGGGGCAGAGATCAACAGCAAAAGTCTGAAAAACTCACAAAAGGAGCCATCCTCTGCTCATCAGAGAGTCGGTCTCTGTTTCTAGAAGGCATCATATGACAGTGGGGTCCCTTCACAGTGTCCTGCAGGAAGGGGCTCCGAGCGCCGGAGGTGCCCACGGAGACCCTCAGGTGTTGTAGCCGAAGTATCCCCCTTTATCCTGTAAGCTCTCCAGCAGCAGGGAGCACTGTGTGGAATCACCACGGAACTATTTCATCCCCTGGGCGTTTTTATATGCCACTCTCCGGCTTTTCCTCTGCAGCTCGTCTTTGCCCGTTTTCTTCTGCGAATTCCAGCCTGACTGTGCTCTGTGTGTTTTGTTTTTTTTCCTCTCCCCAGCTTAAGTGAGAGCTTTTTCATGGTGAAAGGAGCAGCCCTCTTCCTACAGCAGGAAAGCAGCCCTCAAGGCCAGCGGAGTCTTCAGCACCCCCACAAGCATGCAGGTGATGGCTCTAAACTGATGCTCTTACCCAGGGAGTTACCTTCTGTGCAACCGAGCAACCCTCCAACCCTGGTGTTCAGCGCTTGGCTGGTTTTCAAGGCCAGGGAAGTAGCGCAGCACAGGTTGGTAATGACAGGTGCAGGTTAGAGGCTCTCTTCTTGAGGCCGTGTGTGTCTTCCTGACGGCCCTGGGAGCCAGCAACCCTTTGACCACACATGTGTATATAAGAAGGTCAGCAGCTTTCTGTTTGGATGTTGATTCCCTACTCAGTCTATCAGTTAACTGCAGATTTTAAGTTAGAGTATCCTGGGCTCCTCCTGGTGGCTCAGACGATGAAGTTGCCTGCAACGCAGAAGACCCTGGGTTTGATCCCTGGTTCGGGAAGATCTCCTGGAGAAGGGAATGGCTGCCTACTCTTGCCTGGAGAATTCATGGACGAGGAGCCTGGAGGGCTATAGTTCACGGGGTCGCAAAGAATTGGACAGAACTAAGCAGCTAATACTTTCACTTTCTTCACATGCCTTTTTAACGAATGCACCAGAGCACCTTATAGCCAGATGTTGTCCCCTTGAAAATTACTGCCTTGGGGTGCTAGATGTCTAGTCTGTCATTGCTCTGAGCATTTGGAAAGCTCTCATTTGGGAAATTTCTTAACAAACCTTGGGCATGTACTGGGGTGGGAAGTCTTTAATCTTTAACGGTGGGTTGGTTTTTTGGAAGTAGACAGAAATTATAACATGAGATCAAACCAAATACTCACTGAGGCACAAAAGCAAGGAAATAAGAAATGTCTACAAGGACTCCCCTGGCGGTCTGGTGGTTAAGACTTTGCCTTCCAATGCAGAGGGTGCGGGTTCAGTCCCTGGTTGGGGAACTGAGATCCCAGGTGCCTGTGACCAAAAAACCAAAACAGAGAAACAGGAGCAATATTGTAACAAGCTCAATAAAGACTTTAAAAATGGTCTACATTAAAAAAAAAAAAAAAACTTTCAAAAAAAGAAAAGAAATGCCCAGGAAGTGAAAGACAGGGAAGCCTGACATGCTTCTGTCCGTGGGGTTGCAAAGAGTCGGACTGAGTGACTGAACAAGAACAAAGTAATAAGACTGGTTTTCTTAGGTGACTTGACCCTGAACCTGAAGGTATCTGGGAGTAAAGGGTTAGGGAGGCATTTGCGTACAAGTGGATCTTTGTAGCCAGTGGGGAGCGTCTCCAGGCGCTTCTTGGATGGGCAGCTCATGTCTGAATAGGCGCTGGAAAGACCTCGCCTCTCAGAACAACAGCGAATCAAAGAAGCTGGCAGTCGGGGCCAGTTTTGTTGTCGCTTCGGTCATCTTGTTTGTCTAACCTCAAGTCAGTCAAGCCTCATCTGGGAGCTGAGTCCCTAGGCTAGAATTTCCTGTCTTAGATTTTATAGCAAACCCCAAGGCTCAGTCAATATTGTCACATGCCAATATTTATAATCAAGATTTAGGTCTGTCGTAAGCTAAGTAAGCAATCCTTCTGCACAGGGAGGCAGTGTGTTTTGTGGAAAGAATATTTGCTTTGGAGCCAGACAGACCTGGCTTCTGATCCCGTTCTGCAAGCATACAGAACTTTCAGAATCAATTTCTGAGCCTTGGTCTCCTAGTCTTTCTTTACAGTGGGCATCAAATATCGGTAACTCAGATGACGAGAAATTTAAAATTTGTGCACATTAACAGGCCTACCTTCTCCTAGGTGCTCTGCCTACTTAGCTGTAATTATTGCTACAGTGACTGCTGGTGCAATAAAACTACAAACAGAACCTTTGCTCCTTAATCTGCAGCAACTCTGCCCTGTTAGGAGTGTAAACTGCTGTTCGTGGCTTAACCATAACATGTAAGCAAAGCCAGTGCTCAGTTTTGTTCCCTAAGTATTAAATGTCTCCTTCCTCAAATTCAACGAATATTTGCATACTGTGTGCAATCTTGGGGAAGTGGCTATAAAACTGTCTTGTAAAATCCCTCATTCCAGCTGGTTGGTGCATCTCTGGAAGGTACCACAAGAATGGGAAGGGAGCCTGATGTGTTGGCTTTTCTGCCCTGGGGTCTGGGGGGGCCAGTGAGCTCAAAAAAGCAGGGCTTGCCCACTGGCCGCAGATGCTCAGTACATGACTGTGCGTCAGTCACACATTGGACTTCACAGCAAGTCCCCCGGATGACCCACAGGCCCTAAGCAAACCCTGTGCCAAGCTGAGGACAGTTGCGGCTTAACTCCCTACACGTTAAGTAATTCTGCTCAGTCCAGTCGGGCCGAGACTCTTCCTTTCCAGGGCCGACCTATACTTCAGACTCACATTCTCTGCTTTTTTTTTGCGAGTGCTTACTGAACACTTTAACATGCAGAGACTGTGTGAGGCTGCCAGGCCCGGGGTTGGGATTCCTCTCTGTCAGCAATTCCACGTCTCAGCAGACAGCCCCACTGAAAGGCCTCTCTCTGTGTGGAAAGCTTCGTTTTCACTGAGCCACTCATCAGACCGGGGACTGGGGTCCGCCTTCCAATGCACACTCCGTGTGCTTCCGTGACTCGGAGTAGGCGGTGGGGGCGCCCAGGCGAGCCAGGAACCAGCCGTAGTGGGTGTGTGCCATCCTGACAGTGGTGACACGACAGCTGAGCGTGCCGTTGGGTGGAGAAACGGAACGAGATCGTCCCCTCCAGGTCATGCATCGCAGGGCGTGGTGCCAGCGTAGGGTGCTGTGCTGTGTGGGATCCTGGAAGAGGGAAGACAAGGGGGCAGGTTTCCAACAAACTGACTCCTCTCTGAGGCTGGACGTGCCGTTTGCACATCATTTGTCAACCTTCTCTGAGATTAAAAAGATGCTTTTTGCCAAAGGAACACGCCCAGGGGCTTCCTTGGCCATCCAGTGTTTGAGACTCTGCACTTCCACGGCAGGGTGCAAGGGGTTTAATCTCTGGTCAGGGAGCTAAGATCCTACACACCACATGGCCATAAAAAAGAAAAATTTCTTGAACTAAATAAAAAAATGAAAATTCAGCATACCAACTTAAAAAAATTATATGGGAAAAGCAAGTTTAAAAAAAAAAAGGGACACATCCGATGGGTTAATCCCTCTGGGTTCTAATTGTAATCTGTAGGATCATTTTTTTTCTTAAGATAATTGTTTCTTAGCAGTGTTGCACAACCTGAAATGTTTATGGATTTTCTGTGAATTACTCCTTGCACTTTTCTTCTGCATCAGCATCTTTACAGTTGAACCATTTCTTCAGAAAGAACCCCACACAGACATATTTGAAATATACATAAGCTAGGGAAAAAAGCGGCATTGGAACCACCCTCCCTACTTACTAGTTACGAAGCTCAGTTAGGGGTCCCCTGTGCCTGGGACATGCAGCCCTTCTCCTGTGGGTTGGATCCTGCACGGCTTTGGAGGCTCACCACCTCCAAGAAACTCTTTTCCCCTCCCTGCAGCCCAGAGGCATCCCCAGGGACCCTGCGGCCACTCAGTGATGTTCGGAGGCTGACCCTGAATTCCCATCTCTTTTCAATTACCCAGGGGAAACAAACAGAAAAAGAGTGTATGATTTTTAGCAGGAAAAAAAAGAATGCCATTGCTATTTACTCAAATTATATCTCTGGGTACCCAGCACATACCTGCTCTCTGTGGAGTGACTTAAAACATTTCCCCTCCTGCTTATAGAAGTCATTGTCTTTCACCCTTTCTTATGGAAAGTGGTGTGTGCGTGTTAGTCACTCAGTCATGTCCAGCTCTTTGCGACCCCATGGACTGTAGTCCCATCAGATTCCTCTGTCCTTGGGATTCTCCAGGCAAGAATACTGGAATGGGTTGCCATTCTCTTCTCTCAGGGATCTTCCTGACCCAGGGATTGAACCAACGTCTCCTGCACTGAAGGCAGATTGTTTAAGTGGAAAATAACCCCAAGTCCTTTTTCTTTCAGACCAGCCCTCAGCAAATCCCTCTCTTCATCTGTGTCTGTAGTTTCTGCTGCCCTCCCCCCACCCCCTGCAAAGTCACGTTTGCTTGAATTTAATAAGATTTCTCCTCTTGGCTTGTTTGTATTTTTCAGATTTTGTATGTTAAAAAAAAAAAACCACATTACACTTAGTTCATAAAACAAAAGCAACTTTAAAAAACCTGGCAGTGAACTCTCTCCCCCATGCTCACTGTGCAGCATTCTGGAGTGCACTGAGGGAAGTCCAGGTCTGCCAGACCCTCAGAAACCAGCCTCTCTGGGGTGTCTGCCTAGAAAGTAGGTGGGTGACCTGTTTTAAACTTGCTCCATTCGTCCACCAGGGGACCTGCCTCAGCATCTTCAAGTCATGATCAACCTTCTGCGTTGTGAAGATAGAATCAAGCTGGTAAGAAGAGACGAGAGTGGCAAGTTTTCATTTTTAATTGTGACATTTGGTAGGCACTTACTGACGAGCAAGAGTTGGAAGAGAGGTCGGGGAATGGGGGGTGGGTTGGCTCTCTTACATTATAGCAAATTCTCCCAAGCTGTTCACTAAGACCAAATCCCATCTGCTCCTCTGTCCCCAGAAGGTGCAGGAAAGGATGGATAAGGTCTCTGGGTCAGTCTGTGCTGAGCTAGAATCGTCTTTCTCTGGGTTTTATTTGTTCACCTGTATTTAACGAAGTTTGAGGGTCTTCTCTGAGCCAAGTGCTGTCCCGCATGCTGGGGATAATAACCAGATATAACACTTTCATCTTAATTCCAAAATTCTCAAAAGAAAGATAAAAACGAAAGTCTCTGGTCTTGGGCTAGTGGAGGAAGGGGCGGCCGCCTGGAAAGGCAGGCCAACGAGAGCATGTCCACCCATCTAGGCCGTGCGCTTGGAGAGTGCCTGGGCGGAGCGGGTCCGCTACATGGTGGTGGTGGACAGCAGCGGGCGCCAGGACACAGAGGAGAGTATCCTGCTGGGAGTTGACTTCTCCAGTAAGGAGAGGTGAGTCTGCTCTGCACAGTGGCTCCCCTCTGCAACAGGGCCAGGAGTTGCTGCTGGAAAAAGGTTTCTGGGGTCCCACACCCACGGTGGGGACAGTAGCTGACAAGGTAGTCAGGCCCTGGGGACCATGGAGCCCCTCGTTTTAGCTTTCATGTGCTGTGCTGGTCCAGTCTCTGCTCTGAGAGCTTAGGGTCTGCACTCTGCTTAGAGATTTAACCCTGGGTCCCAGGGGTGCCCTGGGAGAGGGCACCTTAACCAGGAGGGCTTCCTAGAGGAGGTGACAGCTGTGGTGAACACCTCAGGGCAAGCAGGAGCCAGACCAGGTAAAGCAGGAAGGCACCTTCCAGGCCGACCATCCCATAAGGAAGTATGTGATCAATGGGCATTATATCAAGGGCCTGATTCAGTATTAATACCCCGTGGATTCCCAAGTATTTGTTGATGGGTCCTGGGTCAGAGGCTTGAAGAGAGGTTGGGAATTTCCCAACAACTGGAGGCCAAGTTTCTAATAGTTATATCATAGACCTTATTATATATGTGAAATGGAAGTGAATGACTCTCCTTAAATCTCGGAGAAGTTAATGCGAGTGAGGTCATTGCAGAACCTGAATTTGTTAAAGCTGGAGGAGACTAGAGGAGACTCCCTTTATTCCTCATTAACCTGCTCTTCGCTAAGCAAGCCATACGTGTGCCTTCTCCTGAGCATGAGGCGACAGGCTCGGCCCGGGCACACAGGGCTGCACCAGCATCCACGGTTCTCAGCCTCAAGGAGCCTGTGAGCTCAGCAGGGAGAGAGCTGTCACCAGAAGTCAGGGTGACGTGCCCAGTGATGGAGAAGTGTGGGGTGGTCGTGGGAACCCAGGAGAGGCGTGGGCCTGGTGGGGGGCCTGCCAGAGGCCTTCAGAAGCAGGCGATGGCTAAGCCGAGTCTTCAGAGGACGAGTGGGCTTGTCAGGTGAGTCCGGGGTTGGGGCAGGTCAGAGGGTGCGTTGGAAGAGCATTTCAGGCAGAATTGATGGCAGAAACCACGAGCCGTAGAGGCAGACTGTGCTGTCTCCTCTTGTTGCGAGGGGGCTGCAGCTAGCCCCACCCTTGTGACCAAGACTCCATTGCTTGTTACAAGTAAGTGAAGAAACAGGAAGGCAGATAGAGAAGCACAGGGTTTGAGAAGATCCCCCGCGGCTGCTGACACTCGGAGGCTGAGTGGGTTTCGTAAACCCGAGGACTGCCCGCGTGCGTGGTTTTGTGTGCGTAGCCATGCTCCCTTAGGGTCTGTCAGCCGGTAGCAGAGATGCCCGTGTAGGGGTCCCCAGAGGTGGTCTGAGTTGGCCCTGGCAGTGATGGCTGTTTTCTCACAAGCCGACTCTTTCAAATGCCTGAAGAATTTTCATAGTGATCCGAGGAGACCCTCTGATAAAACCCTTTCTGTCCGTCTGTGTTTCTCAGCAATGCCAGGTTCTGAAGTGGTCAGGTATCGTTTCGCTGTTGGGATGGGCAAAAAAAAAAAAAAGCAGATTAAGCTGAATTTAAAAGCACCAGCTGCACAGCAGGTACAGAAGCAGAGGTCCAGAAGTGAACTCCAGTCCTGGTGTTGGCACTCTCCCCACCCCCGCCACCCCAGGACAGGAGACGGAGGGTAGCTGCCACCACTTTCCTGTGTCGCCCAAGCTGTGTGTAGCCTCGTGCCAGGCATGTGCCTGCCGTTGTCGGCTTCACCCCCGCTGCGCTGCGGGCGTGTGGTCAGCTGGTTGCTCCTGGCCCCTGAGAGCTGCAGCTCAGACCTGGCATTTATGGAGTCGTGGTCCCCCGTGACTGTCTCTAAGCTGGGGTTTCTGGCCATCCCAGGCCCGCGTCGTCTGGAATTCAGTGGTGAGCAGTCCCTGCATTCAGATACACCCCTAGGCAGCCGGACCCAGGGCAGGTGTGGTTCCTCCCCGTGAACTGGCCCAGCTGGCTGGAGACCCAGCGAGGGAAGGCCTCGGCAGGAGGGTAGCCCCTAACTCCAGATGTCTCCTTCCCTCCGGTGTAGTAAAAGCTGTACCATCGGGATGGTTCTCCGCCTGTGGAGCGACACAAAGATCCACCTCGATGGAGATGGGTAAGGAGATCTCTTAAAAAGGCTTCTTTCACTGTAGACTTTGAAACACCAGTCAGTTTGGACATCGGATAATCATTAACAGACTCTCGTGTGTGACATGTTTATGACGTCAGGGGAGTAGCATTGCCCTCCCGAGAGGCACACAAGGCACGCTCCCTTCGGGACGTGTTACAGGGGGTTTGGGCTTCCCTGGGGCTCAGTGGCAAATAATCCATCTGCCAATGCAGGGCACATGGGTTCGATCCCTAGCTCGGGAAGATCCCCTGGAGGAGGAAATGGCAACCCACCCCAGTATTCTTGCCTGGGAAATCCCATGGACAGAGGAACCTGGCCAGCTATAGTCCATTTGGTTGAAAAGAGGCAGGCACAACTAAGCACGCACACACCTCTAATGAGAAGGGAGTTTGGGTCATGAGGTACCAACAGAAACATTCTGCTTTTTGGGAGATCTTCTGCTGTATGAAGTTCAAGAAGAGCATTAAACAGACGTTCATTTGTTTGCCTTGAGTTGTTAAATGAACACTCACCGTGTGCCCTCCCTGGGGCTGGTCCTTGCAAGTGCACGGGTGAATATGGTGCGGCTGGACTTCCGGTCTCTGGGGGCTGAGGGAAGACACAGAAGCAACAGGTGCAGTGGTGTTTCAGGTGCCACATGGGGGCGCTGCAGCGGAGGAATCATCCCAGTGGGCCCGGGCAGGTAGACCAGGGCCAGAGGGCGGTCCAGATCCTAGAGCGGCAGCGAGGTGGGGGGACCTCAGGTACGGCCAGGTACGGAAGAAGCGGGAGAGGAAATGATCTCCACTGAGATTACAGCAAGAAAAGTTGTGTGGCTGCATAGATAAAACTGGGAGGGAAAAATTAAAATTAGATTTACTGAAGACTTGGGCTTACAATTACTTTTTAAATTTTTTTTAATTTTTATTTGTCTACTTTTAAAAAAATTTTTGGCCCTGCTGTGCAGCTTGCAAGATCTTAGTTCCTCAACCAGGGATCGAACCTGTGCCCCCTGCAATGAAAGCAAGGAGCCTTAGCCATTGAACCTCCAGGGAATTGCCATATATATTTCCTTTTTAAACTTTTATCTCTCCTTAATGTGTTTGTTACGCAAACACAGACTTCCCTGATGGTCCAGTGGCTGTGACTCCAAGCTCCCGATGCAGAGAGCCCCTGGTTTGATCCCTCGTCAGAGAACTAGATCCACATGCCCGCACCTAAGACCCTAATGGAAAAAGAGAACCTAGATAGTGTGTGGGGGCCAGAAGTTGGGGAGCAGGGTGGGCAAGCGAGGCGAGCGTGTCCACTGCTGGGGTTCCGTTTGCTGGGCTTTCGGCTTTTGGCTGGCTTTGTTGGTGGGTTAGAAGCCGGTCTTCCGGCCTGTCTCATTTTCTGGCTTTTGCGCTTGTCTCTGTGGCCAGCGGTCCCTTGTCAGACAGGGTGAGACAGACTTGTCCTCGGGGTGTCCGCCGCCGCCTGGCAGTGCTGTGGTTGGGGCCCGCCTTCTCACCACGCCGTCTTCTGTTTTTCATCCTCAGTGGGTTCAGCGTCAGCACCGCTGGGAGGATGCACGTCTTCAAGCCTGTGTCTGTCCAGGCCATGTGGTAAGTGTGGTTTTAGGGACTTTTAACTCCTTACACATATTTTCCTAGCTGACAGCACGAATTAAAAAGCCCCATCTCCTTGGAAGCACATTTAGGTATGTTTATTTTATGTGTGTGGCAAAATACATGTACCGTAAAATTTCCCATTTTAAGAATTTTTTTTTTTTTGCCACTCTGTGCCACATTAAGTACATGGGATCTCAGTTCCCCAACCAGGGACGTTGAACCCACACCCTTTGCATTGGGAGCTTAACCACTGGACCGCCAGAGAAGTCCATTAAGCAATTTTTAAGGTTGCAGTTCAGTGACATTAAATATATTAACAGTGTTGGGCACCCATCATCGCTGTCCATTTCCAGAATTTTTCATCACTTGAAACAGAAACTCTGCACTTACTAAACATTAATTCCCCATTGTCCCCTCTCCCAGCCCCTGGTAGCCTCTATCTTTCACTCTCTCTCTGAATTTGCCTATTCTGGGTCCCTCATATAAATGGGATCATACAGCATTCGTCCTTCCGTGTCTGGCTCCTTGCACTTGGCACGATGCTTTCAGGGTTCATCCATGTTGCAGTACTTCATTCCTTTTTAAGGCTGAATAGTAAGTTCATTATATGGATATACTGCTTTTGTTTATCTGTTCGTCTCTTGATGGATGTTTGGGTTACTTCTTCCTTTTGGTGCCTGTGAATAGAGCTGCTGTGACCTCTGGCGGACAAAGTATCTGCTGAATCCCTGCTTTCAGTTCTTTGGGGAATGTACCTAGGAGCAGAATTTCTAGATCATGTGGTAATTCTGTGTCCAACCTTTTAAGGGCCGCCCCCCACACACTGTTCACTGTAACCATTTATTCTGATAATTTTTCCATCCAAGGTCTCGTTCGTCCTCCCTTCACTGATACCTGATCCACCTCATTCACTGAGGAATACTCAGCCCATATTTTTGTAAAAAGAAGTAGGAAAAGGATAAGTAAATTGGCTGCTACCATATGCGTCTGCAGTTTTGTTTTTTCTGCCCCACTGCCTTCCCAAACCTCTTCTGCAGTTCTCATATTAAAATTAGTTTCTAGAACTCATTTCCCTAGGAAATCTGAGCATCTAAGCTATTCTGACATTGATGGGAGGGAGCTGAAAATTAACTGACTGAGGACACAACCAGACCTCTGTGCCGCGTGTTGAGGAAACTTTCCTTCCAACTGCTCTGCTAAACTGGGGTCCCTGCCTTCAAGGTAACCGCAGCCCCAGCAGTGGATCCGTCCTTGGGAGCCCCCTGAGGCTGGAACAGGACCTGGGAGCCTGCCCAACTGGGCGAATTAGGAAGCTTTGTTGTTCCCTCCTTGGGGCTGATGACAGGCGCTGCCTTGGCCCTCGGGGTCACTGCCCCGTGTCCCAGAGGCCCGCAGAGGGGCCTAGCGGCCCCGAGGCCCCCTTGTGTCTCCTGCCCCTGACCCTCTCCCCTCCCCGGGCCCCAGGTCTGCCCTGCAGGTCCTGCACAAGGCCTGTGAGGTGGCGCGGCGGCACAACTACTTCCCGGGGGGTGTGGCGCTGCTCTGGGCCTCCTACTACGAGAGCTGCATCGGCTCCGAGCAGAGCTGCATCAACGAGTGGAATGCCATGCAGGACCTCGAATCCACGAGGCCCGACTCCCCCGCCCTGTTCGCAGACAAGTGAGTACCTGGACCCCTGGACCCCGGACCGCACAGCGTCACAGCCCCGTCAGGGGTTCCTGACCTGCAGCCCCCAGGGGTTGTGTTTGGTTGGAGGAGGATCTGTGACTTCCACTCCCCCTTTGGAGATCATGACGAGTTCAGGCGTGAATGCGTGCCCAGGGAGCGGCTCCGTAACTTCCTCAGCTCCAGCCCCTCCTCCCCAGGGCCACAGACAGGGCTTGCAAAGCCTCTTCCTCTGCTTATAAGAGTGAATACATTTATAAGATAAATGTAGCGTCTGGTCCCGTGGGTCCCGAAACACGACTGCGTGATAGCAGGCCTGGGGCGCCACTCAGAGCAGAGGTGCCCCGCGTGCCCCGAGGCTACACTCAGCTCCAGTCCCGAGGGAGGGAGCCGCCCGCCGCTTCTCTACTGTTCCTCAGGGCGGGGAGCCCCGCAAATGTGGGGAGGACCAGAAGCCACATGTACGAGGCCTCCAAGAAATTACGAGAGCACTGGCGAGAATATGTGCCTTCAAGTATAATGAAGGCGCGTCACATGCCAGGATTGTCCTGGTTGGTCCGTGTGGCCCCAGGGTCAGGATCAGGCTGGCCTGTAGAAGGTACAGGGAGGCTCGCAGATGTTGGGTCTGTTTAAATGTGTAAGGGGGTAACAGGAGCTGGATACAGCTGGGCCACGGGCTGCCTGAGGGCCCCGGGGGTTCCAGCCTCCAGCCCTGAGAGTCAGGGGCTCTACAGACCCGCATGAGGAGTGAGCATGCCTCGCCACCACCATTTGCATCCCCGGTCTGCTGTCCCCCCCGGCAGCCCCCCGGGGACGTCCCTGCCCCGCTCCCCTTCTCGCTGAGAACACGCCCGAGCCATGCTCTGTGCTGCCCAGGCGCAGCTGGGGTTCTGTGAACGCCGACCGCAGGCCTCCTCCAGTTCTGCACGTCCCTAAACACGACTTCTCCCCAGGCCGACCGAAGGGGAAAGGACGGAGCGTCTCATCAAAGCCAAACTCCGGAGCATCATGATGAGTCAAGACCTGGAGAACGTGACCTCCAAAGAAGTAAGAGCGCGTCCCTGCTGGGCAGGCCGAGGTTGCGGGCGTCCCTGCTTCCTGTCGGGTAGATCCGAGAGGTTGAAGCTGCCATTGTAAAAGTCACATACGATCTGTTTACAAATTAGTGCGTGTAAAAAAACATCCTTCCAAAGCCAGGTGAAACCTCCCTTTAATGTTTCTGTGGATCACTTGTTTTCTTCTTCCTGTTGCTTTTTGTCCGTGGAATGCTGTGAATTATAGTAACAGCTGAATTCAGTAACAGGTTGATGGTATACAAAACAGTCTTTTTATGAAATAATACATAATGAAGCCCATGATGGTATCTTCCAAAGCAAGATGAAATTGATCTTAGGTTTTCATGGTGATAGATTTGAGCATTGGAAAAGCATTAAGTGCTTTCAACTCAGTAGAAAAGATCCCAGGGAATCAGATTCCTTCTTTGAAATAATAAACATCCCCCAGTCAGAGTCACTCTGAGGCCAAGTAGCCTGTTTTCCTGCCACCCACACGTGTGTTCGGTATGTCTAAATGTATATGTGATGACTCTTGAAAAAAGCCCCCAAATACTTCCTTTGAAAACAGCCATAGTTGGGCTTCTCAGGATGCTCAGAGGTAAAGAATCCGCCTGCCAATGCAGAAAACACAGGTTCAATCCCAGGGTCATGAAGATCCTTTGGAGAAGGAAATGGCAACCCACTCCGTATTCCTGCCTGGGAAATTCCATGGACAGAGGAGCCTGGGGGGCTACAGTTCAAGGGGTTGCAAAGAGTCAGACACGACCAAGAGACTGAAAACAGCAACAGCATAGTTCTTGCTGTGACTTGACTCCTCTGAAGGAACTGGTTTGTTGTGGGTTTTTTTAAACCTTCGTAATATTTTCCACTCTGCAGATTCGTAATGAATTAGAGAAACAGATGAACTGTAACCTGAAAGAATTCAAGGAATTTATAGACAACGAGATGCTCCTTATCTTGGGACAGATGGACAAGCCCTCTCTCATCTTCGACCATCTTTATCTCGTAAGAGGCACAGTGCCCGGTGGGGCCTGGCTCGGGGCTGGGGGATGTAAATCAGACTGGGATTTGTTTGGAGTTTGCAGCAAATCATGAGGGGGGAGAAACTTGAGTTCCTGGAGCCTCCGTCTTGACTTTTACGGGAACTCCCCTCTTGACCCTTTTCTCTGGCCTGCAGCCTACTGGTTTGCTCCCCAAGCCAGATGTTGGAGCCGAGGCTCCCAGCTGAGCTGCGGGGAGTTGTCTGAAAAGCTCTCTGGCGTAGGCGGCTGGCTGCCCTTTTCAGACACACGCCACCTTCCCGCCTTCCTTGGTCACTACCAGAAACCCCCTCCAAATGCTGAAGGAAAAAAAAAAAGCCCAGTTACTGAAGGGAGCACACATGCCTAACCCCAAAATTAGGCCTCGGCGTCCTAAGACGTGAGAAAAGGCAGAGGAGGCAGCATTCCCCCGCCCTCCCTGCTGGTACACACGGCTGCCCCGGCCCTGCTCCCAGAGCCCGTGGAGGGAGCAGCAGGGTCTGCACATCCGTCACCCCCTCCACCCCGTCTCTCACTCAGATTTTCATAAAGCCGTCAGTCTCCATAGAAGGCAACTGGTACGTTTTCAGAGTCGGGGGACGGAGAGGAAGGCGTGCTCCTTTAGTGAGGAGTCTGCAGGGCATGATGGAGACTGGAAACCACCCTCCCCCTGCCCCCGCCAGCCACACTCAAGTTCCCATCCCACAGCCTGACCAGCTAGATGCCTGGGAGCAATCCTTTTGGCCTCACTTCCTTCCTATACCTCCAGGCAGAAGGGCCTCCCCAGGCGGCTCAGTGTTGATTCAGGAGAGGAGGGCTTGATCCCTGGGTTGGGAGATACCCTGGAGGAGGAAATGGTATTCTTGCCTGGGAAATCCCAAGATCAGAGGAGCCTGGCTGGCTACAGTCTGTGGGGTCACAAAGAGTCCCAGAGTGACTCTGAGTGACTGAGCAAGCACCCACATAGCTCAGTGGACCTTTACAAAGCTTAAGTTAGTGTGTATTTAAACACTGAGTGTCATTTCTGTAGGCACTCGTAGGTGGTAGCCATGGTCAGAGCAGAAATCACTTCCTTGGGAAAGTTGAGAGAGCATATTGGCTGCTGAATATGAGAGATTATGAGAGAGCAATATGAGAGAACATATTGGTGACCAACTGTTTTCTGCCTGTAGGAAGTTACCAGTAGTTCCCCAAATGTGTATGTCTTGATATATACTTAATGGAGTAAATATATGTTTAACATGTTTTTGTATATTGATCTATAACTCCAATCTATAAATATTTAATGTAGTATATATGTAAACTGGTTACAAATGTGTGGATTTGAAGCCCCAATCTTGAAAGCAGTCCTGTTTCTACTCTTCTCCCTGCGAAGTGGGTTGTCTTCCCTGATGGACATACAGCCAGAGGCACCTCGGCTGGTCTCTCCACTAGGTGGTGATCACGGCAAGGGGATGCTCACGGCCGTGGCAGAGCTCTCGTTATTTTTTTCGGCGTGGCTCGGTGCTTTATGTCACTTTTTCCATGAGAGATACCAAAGGAATTTTTATATTTGAGCCTCTCCCTCCAGTATGAAAAATCCAGCTAGTTGCCCGCACACTGCCCGCTCCACTGGGGCCCTTGCCTCCGGAGGGTCCGCCCTCTCGGGAAGGAAGGTTTATCGGGAGACCACGAGGGTGCTGCCGCTCCTGTGACTGTGTCCATCCCATTTCCTAAGAGCAGAGTGGTGTTTTTAATCTTTGGGTTTTTTTCCCCCTCTGTATTCTTTGCCTGCTTGGAAATGGAGGGTTTGTTTTTTTAGAAAACCGTTTTTAAAATACGAAGTTGCAACGTGTGACTTCCCTGATGGTCCAGGGAAGTCTGAGCTCCCAATGCAGGGACCTCGGGTTCAGTCCCAGGTTACGGAGCTAAGATCCTGTGTGCTGCGCAGAGCGGCTGGAAAAAAACAAAAACAAGATGCAGATGGTCAGGAAACATAACGGGCTTCCCGATGGCTCAGCAGTGAAGAATCCACCTGCAGCGCAGGCGATGTGGCTTTGATCCCTGGGTTGGGAAGAGCCCCTGGAGGAGGAAGTGGCAATCTACTCCAGTATTCTTGCCTGGGAAATCCCATGGACAGAGGAGCCTGTCAGGTACAGTCCATGGGGTCTCAGAGAGTCGGACATGACTGAATGACTGAATCACCACCAGGAAATACAAGTCTAAGGAAGAAAAAGCATTCTCAATTTCACTATCTAGAGGCAGTCACTGTTAATACTCTGGAATGTTTATTTTTCTGTCTTTTGGGTTTTTTTTTTAATGCATTTATAACTTCTTAAAAAAGAGAAAGAAAAGGAAAGGAACCATACCAGTTGATTCGTAGTTTTGTATCCTGCTCTAGAAAACCCTTTTTCACTATGTGGCATTTCCCTGTGTCATTAAATACCCTGCAAAAGTAGGATTTATTTCAATGGCTCCATCACATGGACCCATCATCATTTGTGTTACTGATTTCTTCTTGTCAAACCCGTGGGTGATTTCTGCTGACCTGTTATTATAAATAACCGTAAATATCCCTGTACATAAATTCCTGTGTGAATTCTGGGTGTTTCCTTGGGGTAGCCTTTTGTAAGTGGAATTTCTAGATCAGAGGGTGGGAACTTTTTTAACATTGCCAAATACTTCCCAGAAAAGGTAAACCCATTCCTGCCTGCAGTGAGCAGCGTGTAGAAGTGCCCTCTCCCGCCTGGGAGGTCAGAGGTCACTGCTTCTGGTGCCCGGGACCCTGCCGGAGACCTAGGAAAAGGAGTGGTGAAGGGGAGGGGGCAGGGTTTCCTGACCTGCCCTTCTCCCCGACAATGCCTTGAATTCTCCGGGAGCCTGCCTTGAGACTGGCCTCTTTGAGGTGGCTTCCTCTGAGGCCAGGGGCTGTCGAGATTCCACAGCACCCTCAGGGCTGGTGCGCACCGCGCATCCCGCAGGCAGCCCTGAGCTGATGTGCAACTCACAGGGGTCTGTGTGATCTGTCCCCCAGGGCTCTGAATGGAATGCATCCAACCTGGAGGAACTGCAGGGCTCAGGGTGAGTCTGCTCCCCTTGTCTTCCCTCGTCCTTACAGGCAGCTTAGAAACTCAGCTCGGCCGTCCCGTGGAGGCCGAACCCTGGTGCTGCCCACCCGCCCGCCCGGAATTGCCCGCACCCCAGTCTCCAGTGCGGCTGCTGGCTTGCTTGATTGGCATAGCTAAACCATATGTGTTTCGAAATGCCACCTCCTTGAATAATTCGGGGGCCTTAGATGTCACTGGGGTTTGGAAATGTGGGTGTCAGGGAGAAAGATTCTAAGCCACCCTCGAACTGTACAGGGCAGCCTGGATGCTGGGAGAGCCACAAGCCCCCTCCTACCGCCCCACTGCCCGGCAGGGATGCAGAGCATCCCAGTGCCTGTGAGCCAGTCAGCAGTGCTCCCAGACCACTCCCGGTTCCATCTGAGGTGGTACTTCTGAGCCTGACACCTGCAGTTAGAGACTCCGTGTTGGCCAGAAACCTACGCCTCAGTCTGAGAAACGCTCGGCAGCAGGAATAAAGAAAATGTATAAATCTAGACCTTTAAGGACAAGTGTCTGGACATCTTTTTAAAAAACAACACAGCCACAAAATCACCATCCTGTGTGTCTGACATGATGGCATTCTTGAATTACTGCATTTAAAAGTCAAGACTAAACAAATCTTAAAATATATCTTCAGAGCTACTGGTTAAGATGTGTTCTTTCAACCGAAAGGGATCTTGAAGTGGAGGGTGATCCTATCTATGCTTTATCTTGCTGGGAATAAATAAATGATTTTAAAGGTTTTTCTTTTTTTTCTAAAGCATTTATAAGTATTCTCTTATGAGATCTATTTGAGGTGTTTTCAAACTCCTGAAATTATTTTGGTCTTCCAGGAATGTAAGTATTAAGTAGAGAACTATAGAACCTGGGTTAACTGGATTAGCAAACCCTCCAGACTATTTATTTATTTATAGCCTGTCTTGTTTGAAAAAGGATTTAAGGCAATTCCCAAGGGCATAAATAATGGATGGATATATTCAGTTTACTTAAAAGTGGAGACATTGGGTTTTTTTTTTAAAGCCTCTGTATACTTATAACAGTTATGAATTTTGAATCTTTAAAAGAGTTAAAAAATGTGTTTAAATAATACATATGATGAATTTCTAGAATTAATATTGCTTGACAATGCTTTGAATGAATCTTTCTTTTTATAAGTTTTTTAATGCAGAAATTTGTTTTTTATCATAAACATATATTCTCATCATACAGAGGGCATTTAAAAGGTACCAGAATGGCAGCCCACTCCAGTATTCTTCCCTGGAGAATCCCACGGACAGAGGAGCTGGCAGGCAGTCCAGAGGGTTGCAGTGAATGGGAGATGACTTAGCGACAGACTTTCACTTTCAAAACAAACAAAAAACCAAAAAAAGGAAAAAAAAAAACAACCCCACTATGAAATTCTGCCGTGAAAACACAGATCTTTTATAAATGTGTATTTAATGCTCTCTCTTAACAGTTTTTTTTCTTTTGTGTTATCTTTTCTTTTTTTTCCTTTTGAAGGATAATTGCTTTACAGAATTTTGTTGTTTTCTATCAGACCTCCACATGAATCAGCCATAGGTACACATACATCCCCTCCTTTTTGAACCTCCCTCCCATCTCCCTCCCCATCCCACCCCTCTAGGTTGATACAGAGCCCCTCTTTGAGTTTCCTGAGCCACATGGCAAATTCCCATTGACTATCTAATTTTACCTGCGCAATTTTTTATTACTCTGTTTTTTGTTTATCCTCGTTCTGATTCTCCAAATTTGTTCTTTATCTTTTTATTCTCATTGCAGTGTTGACTATATTTTAAACGTCACTAGAGAAATAGATAATTTTTTCCCTGGCTTATTTGCTTACCATAACATCCGAGTCTATGATGAAGAGACCACAGACCTCCTCGCCCACTGGAACGAGGCGTACCATTTTATAAACAAAGCAAAGTAAGTGGGCGGAGAAGCCAGAGAACCCAGGCTGGGGAAGAAGCTGACTGCCCACCCACTGGCGGGCAGACATTAGCAGGGACCCCGGACACAGCCACCTCCTGGCTCGAGGGCCAGCGGCACGTCGCAGTCCTCTGACCCCAGGCACCGGAAGGGCCAAGTCGTTCATCTTCTCCGGGGCCCCAAATGAGCACCTTCTCTCCCACCTGCCGTGCCATTTGACCCCCATTTCATCATCAGCTCTGGCTCCAGGCACAGCTTCTGTATCAAGCGCACACTCTCAGGCGCTCTGCCCGTGGGGAGTTGCTGAGCTGGAGGAGAGAGGGGGGCATGCGGGCCAGACATGACTCAGAGGACCTTTGGGGCTGCTGGCCCGGAGGAATCTGCCCATACATCTACTCGGGCAAGTGCCTGGAGCTGTGGCCGCCTCCACCTGAGTTCGCTGGACTCCCGTTCACATAGGGTGGGATCGGCCATCCCCCTTTGCCCTCAAGCCTGTCACCAGCATCAGCCTGTCTTGTCCTCACCTTACCTTCCCAAGGAACACCTCTTATCTCCCTGAAGTATCACCAGCAGGAAACAGCTCTTGAGATGCTATCAAGAGACACCCACCCCTTCTGCTTTGCACCCCTCCAGCTCAGAGCTCCGTGATGTGGGACCAAATCTTAGTTCCCCTGGGTTCCCGGGGCATAGACTTCGCAGTCCAAAAAAAACAAACTCAGATCTGAGGATGAATTTCAAGCCTGGGGTAAAGCAAGCGAGCCTGTCCCCACCTGGCAGGTGGGCTGCTTCTAATGTAAACAGGAGGCTGGCACCCGACCTCCTGTACCAATAAGCCCTCACAGGTGCGGCCTCCCCGGCCTGTGCCCGCCCCCGCCCCCCAGCCTGTTCCCCCTCACCTTCTTGGAGCAGCGACAGCTAAAACAACAGTGTTCCTGGCCTTGCCATGTCTGTTAAATCTGCCCTGCCTGGACCCGTACCGTCTCCTTACAAAAAGACCTATTGGCCCATCTGTTTCCTTTGGCTTCTCTCTCTGGTGGCTCCTTGACCCTCCTGTCTGCAGAGGCGCTCTCTCCCGGGGCCCTGGAGCTTTCAGCCCGCTGACCCCATTCTTCTGCAGTAACCACTCCCTGTCTCCATCTGCTCTGCAGATAACCCCTTTTGCTGCTGCCCAGTTGCTTCCTGCCCCAGGGGCTCTGGTCCTCCAGCCTGTCCCAGCCAACCCAGGCAGACTCCTGCTTTGTCCCTGGTGGTGGCCCGGTTCAGGAGTTCTCTCCCTGCCAAGCTTGGGCCTGGCTGGAGAGCTCCGTCTCGATTTCCCATTATATGCTAATCGATTTGGCAGCCAAGTTCTTTCTTTCTGAGGGTCTGTGGACACCTGCTACCTTACCCTCAGGACCTCGGAGGGTTTGGGTAATGAGATAACCTCAGGGGTTTTTGTCTTAAAAATATCTGTCTCACGGAACCTGAGAGAATGCAGCTGTGTAAGCTCTGCCCTCTCCCCCCGCCCCCCGCCCCCGCCGCTGCAGGAGGAACCACTCCAAGTGCCTGGTACACTGCAAAATGGGCGTCAGTCGCTCGGCTTCCACCGTCATAGCCTATGCAATGAAGGAATTCGGCTGGACCCTGGAGAAAGCCTACAACTACGTGAAGCAGAAACGCAGCATCACGCGCCCCAACGCAGGCTTTATGAGGCAGCTGTCTGAGTATGAAGGCATCCTAGACGCCAGGTGGGTGACCATGTGCCGGGAAGAACCGACCAGCCGAGCCGGGCTCCAGGAGCCCTACCGCCTAGCCGCGCTCACGTCCAGTCCAGGGTTGGCTTCCACAGCCAGAAATCCTGCCTCGGGGTTAGGGGGGTGGAGGGGAGCCCATCTGAGCAAAACAGCTATTGTTTGGGGTTTGATCAGCGGTTTCCAGGAGGGATCTGTGTTGATTGTGTTGGCACGTGCAGAAAGCTGTTCTGTGGCTGGAGGGAGCAGGGCATGGCTTCTGATCCAAGGCAGGACTCCCACGTGCGGCTCGGCCTGGGGCTGCCCCATTTCCTAAGCATCTGCTCTGTGCCCAGCTCCATGCCAGGCTTCACCGCAGGGCAGCCCCAGGGACTGCAGGGGCAGACCGCTGCCGCCAAGCTGGCAGCTCAGGCCTAGCTCATCCATCTGCCCCGGCCACAGTCTCCTCTCCTGAGTTAAGAAGTAACCCCATTCCCCCTGCCCCGCCTCCTACTCTTCCCTGGTAGCTCAGTTGGCTGCCTGCAATGCAGGAGACCCCAGTTCAGTTCCTGGGTCAAGAAGAGCCCCTGGAGAAGGGACAGGCTGCCCACTCCAGTATACCTGGGTCGGGAAGATCCCCTGGAGAAGGGAACGTCCACCCACTCCAGTGTTCTTGTCTGGAGAAGCCGCATGGACAGAGGAGCCTGGCAGACTACAGCCCATGGGATTGTAAAAAATCAGATATGACTGAGCGACTTTCACTACCCCCTCATAGGGTTGTTATGAAATTTCCACGAGCACCATCCAGATGCTTCAGTAGACCCATCTCGTGGTCAGTGATGACGTAGCTGCTTTTTAATTCTCTAACTACCACCACCCACCTACCTACCTACCCCGATGTGAGAAAGGTCTGCAAAGGACAGCTACTGCTGCTGCTGCTGCTAAGTCGCTTCAGTCGTGTCTGACTCTCTGCGACCCCATAGACGGCAGCCCACCAGGCTCCCCCTTCCCTGGGATTCCCCAGGCAAGAACACTGGAGTGGGTTCCCATTTCCTTCTCCAATGCATGAAATTGAAGTCGCTCAGTTGTGTCCGACCCTTTGCGATCCCATGGACTGTAGCCTACCAGGCTCCTCCATCCATGGGATTTTCCAGGCAAAAGTACTGGAGTGGGGTGCCATTGCCTTCTCCTGCAAAGGATAGAGGATCCCTCATTTACGGGGAGTCTGGAACTGCCACTGGAGGTTGAGGTGTCCCATGTCATACAGCCAGAGGGTGGCCCGGGGAGGAGGGGCAGTCCCCAGGCCTGTTGGCCTCTAGGGATCCCATGCAGGGTGATCCTGCCCCCACGGAGGGGTCCGCAGTGACCCCAGGTGGATCCACTCGCTCTCCCTGTTCCTTTTCCACCCAGTCTGTCCAAGGCCTCCCTGACAGCTGTTTCTGCCCAGCACCATGGGGAGGCTGCAGGCTAAGCCCACCGGCTTCTTGGCCACGTCTGAGGGGCAGCTGGGGGTCTGGAAAATAGCTCTGGACAGCCCTGGATTCCTTCACTGTCAGCCGGAGAGCAGCTGGACAGATGTGCAGGCAGAGCTGAGGGGCGGGGATGGACGCATCCGCTCCTTCAGCCCTTCAGTCACGTGTGCCATCAGCGGTTTGCAGCCCAGCCAGGGGTCTCCAGGCCAGGTTCACTGCAGCACAGCATTTTGACCTTGAATCCCAGCCCCATCTGAGGGCCCTCCCGGCCTGGCCTGGCCTGGCCTGGCGCGCACACACAGAGCAGATGGCCATGAACGATCACAGTGCTACTGAAGATCACAGCAAGCCACGTGTTTACGTGGTCACGTGAATGTGTGTAAATTTTTACCAACTCTCTGCTTTCATCTGCATTATTTCCCTACAAAGGAAGTAGGAAAAGATTCAGTTTCTTATTTGACAGAGGGCGGGGAATAGAGACGGAGCGTAAGTGGTGTGACCAGGTCTGCCAGAGTGGGCTGGGACACTGGGGCCGTGATAGGATTTCAGGTCCAGACCCCTGTGTCTGCAGCATCCTCATCACATGACAGAGCTGTTTATGTGACCATCCACAGATCACTCCTGTGGGAGCCATGATGACTTAGGGTCCCAGGGCCTTTTCCATCGTCCTTGAATGTCTCGGGGGTAAATGATCCCAGAGAGGCTTCACCCAGGTGAGCCCCTGGTGTCCACCCAAGCCTTGGGCTGCCTCCGCTGCCCCACCAGCTTCTTCCCAGCACCCTCTGGGCACTGGCCTAGGCTCACCTTCCTCTGCCCTTCTTCCCCCAGCAAGCAGCGGCACAACAAGCTGTGGCGCCAGCAGGCCGACGACAGCTGCTTCCAGCAGCCTGGGGACGACCCTGCGGGGCCTGGGGACTTCCAGCCAGAGACCCTGGACAGTACCCGAGAAGCCCAGCCACCCTGCTTGGACGCCGCTGGCCCCCCGCCTGGGTTCCCGGGCAGCGGGGCGCTTGGTGGCCCCACTCTGCCCTGCTGCTTCCGGCGACTGTCAGACCCTCTGCTGCGGGCCGCCGCCGACGAGACAGGCAGCTCTGTCCACCTGGAGGATCTGGAGAGGGACGCTCTGCTGGAGGAAGCCACTCAGCTGGCAGAGGCGTCCCAGCCAGCCAGACCACCCCCAGAAGGCCCCGGACTCTGCGAGAGGGAAGTGAGGAAGAAACCAGAGCCTGGGGGCCCCCAGGCCCAGGGTGGCTCCTCGCCGCAGGCGGAGGAGATGGAAAGGGAGGAGGCCCTGGGAGCAGGGAAGTGGGGGCGGCCCGCAGCCCAGCTCGATAACCTGCTCAACCGGGAAAACCTAAACAACAACAACAGCAAGCGGAGCTGCCCGGATGACTTTGAGGTGGGTGTGAGGGGCGCGGGCGTGGGTCACACGCATGCCTGCCATGACTTTGAGGTGGGTGTGAAGAGCACAGGCGTGGCACGCACGCACGCCTGCCATGACTTTGAGGTGGGTGTGAGGGGCGTGGCACGCACGCACACCTGCCATGACTTTGAGGTGGGTGTGAGGGGCGTGGGCGTGGCACACACGCACGCCTGCCATGACTTTGAGGTGGGTGTGAGGGGCGCGGGCGTGGCACGCACACACGCCTGCCATGACTTTGAGGTGGGTGTGAGGGGCACGGGCGTGGCACGCACACACGCCTGCCGTGACTTTGAGGTGGGTGTGAGGGGCGCAGTCGTGGCACGCACGCCTGCCATGACTTTGAGGTGGGTGTGAGGGGCACGGGCGTTGCACACACGCCTGCCATTTTGGTTCTGCCCGGGGGCCGCCCTCCCCCACTTCACGGCTGTCCGTGGCAGCCCCTGGGTGGATTTCTGAGAGGTTCTGCAGGCCCTTGGGGGTGGTAGACAGTGGAGGACCAGAGGCCCCCGAGGAATGTCTAAACACTGCTCCCTTGACCCCATTGCCCTGTTGCTGTGTTAGGCAAGGCTTCTAAATCTTTTTTTCTTACGTAAAATGTAAGACCTATAACTTGTTACCCAGCTTTGATCTTTACCAGTATGTGGCTGTTCTTCATTTCATCTCACCCCCATACACTTTCCCACACCCCGAATTGTCATTGTTCAGTTGCTCAGTGGTGTCCGGCTCTTTGCGACCCCATGGACTGCAGCACGCCAGGCTTCCCTGTTCTTCACCACCTCCTGGAGGTTGCTCAGACTCATGTCCATTGAGTCAGTGATGCCATCCAACCCCATCTTGTCCTCTGTCGCCCCCTTCTCCTGCCTTCAATCTTTCCCAGCCTCAGGGTCTTTTCCAACGAGTTGGCTCTTCACATCAGGTGGAAACAAATCAAACCCCTGGTCTGCCATTCCCATCACAAATGCTTCCATATACATCGGGACCACAGTACCACTGCCACCTTGGGAAAATTGATAGCAATCCCCCAGCACCATCTTACATAGTCTTAAAGACACCGTTGGTGTTTGAAACCCACCTCCGGCTGGTTCCCTGGTCGAGGCTGTGGGCACCCAAGCGGTCTTTGCCCTTCGCCACCTCTCTGCGGAGAACACAGTCGGGTGATGGTTTCTCGGAGCCGCGCTCTGTTGTGTCAGACGTGCAGGGTCCATCATCAGGCTGCAGACCCCAGACCCTTTCTGAAGGGGAGACCCAGTCACTGTGCCAGAAATGCAGTTTCACTAATCCCCACGATGCTCTGAGGGCTTCCCTGGTGGCTCAGTGGTAAAGAATCCACCTGCCAGGGCAGGAGACACAGGTTCGATCCCTGGTTCGGGAAGATCCCCTGGAGAAGGAAATGGCAGCCCACTCCAGTGTGCCTGCTTGGGAAATCTCATGGACAGAGGAGCCTGGTAGGGTCACAGAAGAGTCAAGACATGACTGGGTGACTAAACAACAACAGTGATTCTCTGAGGGCAAAGCCACCCTGGTTTCCAGGTGAGATCAGGGCGCTGGAAAGGGTCATTTGGTGCAGGTGGCGGAGGCGGGGTTTGAGAAGGGAGGCCCTTGGAGGTCCCACTCCTGGCCATGTAGCCAAAGGATTTGTCCAGGATCGTGGGCTCATAGATGCCACGAAGTTCAGTGTCTCTGACTTGTCTCCAAACCTGCATACGTGACAGTCAAGCAGGTTCTGGTTCTGAGAGCTCTCCGTCCCTACACCAGCTAAAGGGAGAGCACTGCCCACCGCCCTCCTGTATTTTTCGGTCTTCGGCTTGTACTGCGTCCTCACCACATTCTTGTCTCTTTTAGCATGACGCGATCTTCGGGATCCTTAACAAAGTGAAGCCTTCCTACAAATCCTGCGCCGACTGCATGTACCCTGCAGCCGGCGGGAACCCCGAGGCCTTCGGGGAGCGATGCAAGAATCCCGGTGCTCCTGCCATCTGCACCCAGCCCACCTTCCTACCCCACCTTACGTCTTCCCCCGTGGCCAGCAGGTCCCGAGCTTTGGAGAAACTGGCCTCTGTCCCAACCGAAACCGCCTCCTTCCTACCACCAACAGGCTCGAGGAGGCCAGACTCCAGTGGTCCAGGGGCCGGGGCTGCCCCGGAGCCCCCAGCCAGCCTTCCGGAACCTTCCAGAGAGATTCACAAAGCCCTACCAAAGTCCCTCCTCGTGAAGAATTCTCACTGTGATAAGAACCCTCCTGGCTCAGAAGCAGTGAACGAAGACTCGCCACCCAAGAGAGATCCGAAGCCGGCCAAGGACCTGCGGCTCCTGTTCAGCAAAGAGGCCGAGAAGCCCACGAGCAGCAGCTACTTGATGCAGCACCAGGAGTCCATCATCCAGCTGCAGAGGGCGGGCCTGGTCCGCAAGCACACCAAAGAGCTGGAGAGGCTGAAGGGCACACCGGCTGAGCTGGGGGCCCCCTGCCGGGACAGCCCGGCTGCCATCCCTGAGGAGAACCCGGACTCGCCTCTGCCCGGCCAAGCCCCGGGCCCCGAGAAACCTGAGGCCGGCCCCCCTCTGCTAGAGGGAGCCCTGCTGAAGAGCCCCCCGCCCTTCCTCTGCCGCCCGGACCACGCCAGCCACTTCTCCAAAGACTTCCTGAAGACCATCTGCTACACCCCCACCTCATCCTCCATGAGCTCCAACCTGACGCGGAGCTCGAGCAGCGACAGCATCCACAGCGTCCGCGGGAAGCCGGGGCTAGTGAAGCAGCGCACGCAGGAGATCGAGACCCGGCTCCGGCTGGCGGGCCTCACCGTCTCGTCCCCGCTCAAGCGCTCCCACTCCCTGGCCAAGCTCGGCAGCCTCAACCTTTCGACTGAGGACCTGTCTAGCGAGGCCGACGTGTCCACCGCAGCCGACTCCCAGGACACCAGGTTGAGCGAGTCTTCCCTTTTGCACGAGCCCCTGGCAGCCACCAGGAGTCCGGCCACAACCTCGAAACCATCAGGGAAATCTGCCCTGGAAGACTTGAAAAGCCCTTCATGGCCGGGCAAAAGCTGACCCACCTCTGGCTGCGTTTGGACTTGTGCGATCCCTCCCTTAGCCTCCCTGTGGATTTCTGGTCCACCCCTGCCGTCTGGATGTCCCTTAAGCGATTGGCGTTATCCACGCTTTTCCTCCCCTTCTCTTTGCAGAGGGGAGAAAAAGCAACAAAATTGCCGAACATACAGCACAAGAAGAGAGGGGTGAGCCTGGGTGTTTGTGGCCTGGGATAACCAGCAGCTGTCGGCCAGTAGACTGACCCCAAAGCAAGTGTTTCCAAGAAGACATGCTTTAAGAAGAGCGTTTATATGGAGATGCACATGCATCAAAAACCCTTCCATGCACAACCTGCGAACGAATAGCCGTGGTGTCGGCATCAGCACCACAGGGGCTCATCTTTGCTCATGCAGGCCCTAGTGGGGAAACCCGTGGATGGCACTAGAATTCCTACCTCTGATCCTGCTGTGCGCTTTTTTTATTTTTAAAAAATCCAGTAACAACCAAGGCTTGTTCCAGGGAAAATGCTGTGTCAGAAAAGGTTTTTTTTCTGAAAGAGAACTTTTGCTGTCAGGACCCATTTCCCCCCCCCCCCAAAAAAAAAAAAGCGTCAAGACTTTTAAAGTTGCCCACACCAAACACCGCTACTTAAAGCGACAGGAAGGCACAGCTGCTGTCATTGAACCGACTCCGGGGCGCATGGAGGTCCTCTGAGCTTTGACTTCCTGGTGCTGGCGTGTTGTCACAGCTAAGTGATGTGGGTCTGGCCAGCCCTGGAGGAAGCAGGGGCCAATGTGTGTGTGTGTGTGGTCCTCATTGTCGCCCCCATCTGGGGAGAAGGACCCACAAAGTTATCGTTGAGTCTCACCTGCTGCAGAAGCCCACACGGTCCTACGAGGGTTTCGAAGGCGCTCGAGCGTCTGGCGGGGCTGGGGAGGGGTTTGGAGACATGGGTCACCCCACCGGGAGCTCCGGCACTCAGGTTCATTAGGTCACACGCACTCAAGTCTGGGGAGGAAAAGGAGATGTCAGCATGAGAGACACTCAGTCACTCAAGGGACAGCTCGGCAGCAGCTTCTCCGATGAGCAGGACTGGTGGGAAGCTGCTCAGATGTTTACAAGTCGCCCCTTCCTGCGGTGAGAACGCTGCTTCCTGCTTCTCCACGGCTCTTCCCAGCGGGCCGGGAAGGCTTGAGGTCCCGCCCGGCTCTGGGGGTAGCCCCTCCGAGGATTTGGAGTGGAGGGACTCCTCTGATGTCAGCGGGCAAGACAGGATGTTAAAACATTTTGGAGAGAGAAGAGGTTGGTTAGATTTAATGCAGGGGTCAGCCAACCATGGCTGGGGTGTGTGGCCCCATGAGCTAAGATGGGTTTTAGTTTTTATTTTTATCATATTTTCAAGGGGTTAGCCAAAAATTACCAAACAGGCAACAGAGACCATGTAGCCTACAAAACCGAAGGTAGTTTACAATCAGGCCCTTTATAGAAAACCTTTGCTGACCCTGGTTTTACTTGAAAACCCAAGGCTTGCCCCAGGCCCTTGGGGAAGAAAATCCCGGGAGTTAGAAGGCCTCCCACCTCTTTTGTCACCTCAGGCCAAACCCTGCCCTCCTCCCGACCCAGTCCTTGCCAGCCCATCCCCAATGTTTTTCTCCTGGGGGTGGGACAGGCCCCTACTGGCTGAAACTTTCCCACGGTTGCAGCTTGCCCTCAGGCCCACCGGATTATTTCAGTGAAACTAGACATCCTTCAAGGGCCAGCCAAATTCCAGAAGTGGGTAAATGAGTCTCCATCTTACTTTGGTCCAAACTGGGCCTCTCAGAGCACCCCACGCAGAGTCTTCAGAAACAAGGCCAGTCCATGTTTTAACTCGTGGGTAGAGCTTTTGCAAAAAAACCCTCTCTCTGGAAACTTTTTCTCCCTGAATTTTTTTTTTTCTTTTTAAGTATATGTTATTTTACCTTATAGGAATTTGTTTTCCCACTGCTGTCAGTTGGAATCACCTTAGATGATCCACTTATTCCAGAAAACCCAGTTGGGTTTCCCCCTTTCTCTCAGCCAACACAAGAGCATGGTCTCAAAAAAAAAACGTCAGGTTCAGTGTTTTGCCAAGTTGCATTTTATGTGGTGGGTCAATTTTTGTGTCAAAAAAATCCTATAGATTTGATGATGACAGGCTTATGTTGGTTTTTATTTTTTTAAAAACCATGCCCGGGTATGATATATTTTTGAAGACCTTCATTTTGAAAGCCATAGTTTTTCTTATCCAGTTAAAGGATATGAGGAGGATTATAAAGATGAGAGGGTCTCTGGCTTTTGGCAGAGTTATCCATTCATTGTCAGAAGTTAGTCTGTTAACATTGAAACTGGGGCCCAGGTCCCCACCATCAGAACAAAGCAAAGCCTTCTTGATGGGTAACATTCTAGTCTGAAGAAGAGGGTGAAGATTCTTCTCCAAGACCCAGATCAGTGGCGTGGAAACCTATGGTGGATTGCTGTTTTATATTTTATAAGACCAGAGTGTCCTACAAGGTTTGGGGGCATCTCGACAAAGACAGATGCATTAATAGTCTCTGAAAAGAAAGTTTTTACCATAAGCTATGCCTCTTCTTTACCAATGCTTTGTCTACACTTAGCGTATGGGGGAAATTCCGAATATGGGTGGCAGAGGTTTATGCTGTGAAAGTCATGGATTTTTGTGACCAGCTGTCTTCATGGAATGCCTTTGTTGAACTAGGCAAGAGCGAAGGTTTCTGAATCAGCTTGGTAGCCCATAAATCCAGCTGCGTTTCCTCTTCCCCCTCCACCACCCCCCACTTTCCTGCTCATTCGAATGGCATGCCAGCAGGAGACCCAGCTTGTCTAGGTCTACCTCTTGCATTGACACATGGGGTCTTCTCAGTTGAGTTTTGTTGAGTCGAAGCCGGGAGCTAGTCACAGAGAGGGGAAGCCGTGCTGCCCTCTGGTGGGCACGTGGCCTTGCCGATGTCCGTCTTTGTCCCGTGGCGACACGCATCGCCGCAGGAACGCCTTGAGAAGAGGGTTCTGGCCCGCGGCGGCGCGCGTCACTGTGTGGATGCCTTGAGAAGAGGGTTCTGGCCCGCGGCGGCGCGCGTCACCATGTGAATGCCTTGAGAACAGGGTTCTGGCCCGTGGTCTCCCCTCCTCCCTGGTCTCAGTGCAGGTGCTCATGCCAGCCTCCAGGCTGCCAAACAGCTCTCTGCTGGGTGGGGGTGGCCGTTCCATCGGCCAGGAGACTGCTCTGTCCAGCCCCCTTCTGCTCCACCCATCCCACCCTCTCCAGCTAAGAAAGCATTCCAGCCCTTTCTAAGCCTTTTCCCTCCTGGATAAGCCCAGAGGATGGATACCTAGGATGGAGCCAGAACAGCCATAGAGTTAACATCAGGACAACCCTGTATGTCAGCCCTGCACTCAGGCCCCATCCCAGGGGCCTCTGCTCCTTAGTGAGAGGAAGTGCTGGCATCGCGTTGAGGTCACGTGCAGAATCTCACCCAAGGTGTCTGAAGATCAGCATGCTGTCTGTCGCCCAGAAATGCTGCTCTGGCTTCCCAGCCAGCAGGGCTTCCCTGGACCCACACGAGCAGCGAGAGAACCCCTTCCCTTCCAGCAGGGAGATTTAGGACATCTGGACAGCACGATGCAGGTTTGCATGTTCTTGTCCTACCCCCAGCATCTTGGCCAGACGAAGGTACTTACAGATCCCAGTGTTCAGCTATTTGGTCTTTTTATCATCTGCTCTGGAGAAAGAAATGGCAACCTACTCCAGTATTGCCTGGAAAATCCCATGGCTGGAGGCATGTGGTGGGCTACAGTCCATGGGGTCGCAAAGAGTTGGACACGACTGAGTGACTTCACTTTCTTTCTGCAGATGAATACCTGTGTGAGATCGTTCTGCATAGATACATATATCTGTGTCTATACATCTGTCACTTGAACGAGAGTATCAAGTGCATTCCCCTTCCCCATCATCCACACACATGCCTCGTCACCCAAGCTGTGGAGCGGGTCACCTTTAATGGTCTGGAGCAACACCGTGCAGTGGATCTGGATGTGACCGCCTTGTTTTTTTGTCCTGTAGTAGACCCCTGCAACCCTTGCGGGACCCTTTTAGAGCCAGACCCCCGTCCTCCACTGTTCTCTGTCAGCCGCGCCATGCAGGGAGATGGCCACTCCCTCCCTCCTCCTCGACACTGTAATCATTGTTTTACAATCGAGTGCCTTAATAATAGTTTACAAATACTGTGTATTTATGGGCAGCCGTTCCGCTTTCGCCTTCTGTGATTGGATACTTTGCCTTGTCCTCGGTGGTTGGCGCTGGGGCTGGAGTTTGCCTGCCCCATAGTTGGGCTGATCTGCTGGGCGGCCTCCCGCACCTGCCCACAGCCAGGCCAGGGGCATCGCTAGAAGCGGTGCTGGCTGGTGGTCCCTATGGGCGAGGCAGGCGCTGTTTCAGCCGTGGGCCCATATAGTAAGCAAAGATAAGACAGGATTGGTAGGCCGACCAGCTCGGGCACCCTCTGGACCACAGCCCTGCCCCTCCCCTTATACCCTCTCCACATCACAGCTGTTCTGTTCAGTAGACTTTTTATTACCACCTTGAAACCCCCCCCACCCCCACCATTTTCCTCTCTTTTGGTGTCCTGAGCTCTTTGCAACAATATGCAGGTACAGAGTGCCCTCCCCAGTCAGGAGCTCCCCTCCCCCCAAGACAGCCTGCCCTTTGGTTTTCAGAGGCTGCCAGTGGGTGCCATTGTGTTGCGTTATGATATCAATGATTTTTTTTATTATATATTGTTTTTCTTCTTGTTTTTTTATATTATATATTTAAAAGGCAGTATCTTTTGTACTGTGAATTTGCAGTAGAAGATGCATAATGCACTTTTTTTTTTTTTTTACTTCTGTTGGTGTGTACTGTATATAGTCTGTGTGCTTCTTGTGAGGAAAATAAACTTTTTCTTTATAAAAAAAATAAATAAAACATACCTCCTTAGCTTAGGGAAGGCACAGGGTTTTCCAAGTGGCTCAGACGGTAAAGAATCTGCCTGTAATGCAGATTTGAATCTGGGTTTGACCCCTGCATTGGGATGATCCTCTGGAGAAGGGAACAACAACTCAATCCACTATTCTTGCCTGGAGAATTCCATGGACAAAGGAGCCTGGCAGGTTACAGTCCATGGGGTCACAGAGTTGGACACGACTGAGCGACTTTCACACTTCCAATATTCTTGCCTGGGAAATCCCAAGGACAGAGGAGCCTGGCGGGCTACAGTCCATAGGGTCTCAAAGAATTGGACACAACTGAGTGACTGAGAGAGAGCAAGAGAGATGGAAACCTTGTCTGGATCCCAATTTGAGTAACTGTAAAATAAGACAGCACAACAGGGAAATTTTATATTGACTGAATAATAAATGATAATATGGAGTTAATGGTAATATTTTTAGTGGTGGTGGTTCAGCCGCTCAGTCGTGTCCAACTCTTTGTGATCCCTTGGACTGTAGCCTGCCAGGCTCCTCTGTCCATGGGATTCTCCAGGCAAGAATACTGGAGTGGGTTGTCATTTCCTTCTCCAGGGGATCTTCCCGACCCAGGAATTGAACCCAGATCTCGTGGGTTGCAGGCAGATTCTTTACCAACTGATTTTTTACTTCTGTTGGTGTGTACTGTATATAGTCTGTGTGCTTCTTGTGAGGAAAATAAACTTTTTCTTTATAAATGCTCGATGACCTCTGAACTTGTGCAAAAAAAAAAATAAAGTAGCAGCCCCTCCAGCCCTGGCCAGGAGAGGCGAGACACTGCTGTGTGCTGGCCCTACACTAAGCACCTGGACAAGTGGGACCAGAGAAAGAACCAGGGGGAGAAAGGTCAGCTGCTGCAGAAATTATCTTTTTCCTTCCTGTTCTTGCCAGCAAGAAAGAGCAGGCCCACTTTTGGTATACAAGGTGGTCACTTATATACCAAAAAACCTGTCCTGCCTGCCCCCACCTTGGGTGGGACTTGAACCTGAGGGGTGTGCTGGAGAAATTCACCACCTTAACTGCTCACACAGAAGAGGGGGTGGGGAGGGGGTGCTCATCGTGGCTAACGGCCACGATGGGAACCCCAGGGGACCCCAGTTACCAGACACAGCAGAGGCTTACGCTGAGCTCAGGTCACAGTCCACTGCAGATCAGAGCTTTTGGTGGCTGTCCCCCATGGTGTCTGAGCCAAGCCAGGCCGCTTCCAACAGAAAACCCTGCCTTCCTGGAGTTCGTGCATCCAGCAGGGCAAATGCAGCTCACATTTCCTCTTCGCTGCCTTTGGATGCCGTACCTGACGATCCCATGGGCGAGTCGCATGGGTGAGTGTCAATCATCCGCCACTAGTGCCTTGACGGGACCACGAGATTCCAGAGCCTGTGGGTCCAGAAGTAGTACACACTCCATTTAACTCATGTAGACTTACTCCGCCTCTCACCTGTACTCATAGGAGATGGGTAGAGAAACCAGGATGCAAGTTTTTCACCTAATAAGAATTATAACCGTCAATGGGAACTTCACTGGCAAGCCAGTGGTTAAGAATCCACCTTTCAATGCAGGGGACACTGGATCCCTAGTCAGGTAACTAAAGTCCTACATGCCATCAGCAAAAAAAAGATAATAAAGAGATGTTGTAAAATACTCTCATTTGCCAATTAACACATTGAGTCCTTCCAGGAAAATCTGCTCTTGAAGCCAAATCATGCTTGCTGTGCTCAGCGGCTCAGTTGTCTGACTCTGCGACCCCGTGGACTGTAGCCCGCAAGACTCTTGTCTGTGCGATTCTCCAGGCAAGAATACTGGAGCGTGTTGCCATTTTCTCCTCCCGGGCATCTTCCTGACCTAGGGATTGTGCTCACCTCTCCTGCAGGCAGATTCATTTTACTGAGCCACCTGGGAAGCCCACATTATGGCTAGGAATTGCTAACTCAGTAGAAATTTAAAGCAGAAGGGGGGGGAGTGACTCTGCTGACTGGTCCCATCAAGCTGTAATGTAGCCCTTTCTATATACAAGGTTTTTGGAACTGAACCACTGAGGGTCATGGTTCAGGACAACTGTGCGATTCTCCAGGCAAGAATACTGGAGCGTGTTGCCATTTTCTCCTCCCGGGCATCTTCCTGACCTAGGGATTGTGCTCACCTCTCCTGCACTGGCAGGCGGATTCATTACCACTGAACCACCTGGGAAGCCCACATTATGGCTAGGAATTGCTAACTCAGTAGAAATTTAAAGCAGAAGGCGGGGGGTGACTCTGCTGACTGGTCCCATCAAGCTGTAATGTAGCCCTTTCTATATACAAGGTTTTTGGAACTGAACCACTGAGGGTCATGGTTCAGGACACTCCTAGGCAAAGCTGGAGATCACTGACACATTCTCTTCAGGCTCCCAAGGTGAATCCGAGCTGGAGGAGGGGGTCCAGCACTCCTTGCGATTCCCGTGGATTCCCTGGGAATTGTGATGGCCACGTCTAGAAAACCATTGAAATAGGAATGCGGTGCAGTTGAGTAGGTTTTCCCTCCGCCAGTTACAATCACATTCCACACATGTTTTCTGCAGACAACACCCACCCTTCCACATGGCCCTTCCAGAATGTGGGTGTTCCCAGATCACCCGATACTCTCTTCACTCAGATCCCCGGAGAACCTTCCTGTAACTGACAAGCTGATCTTGTCCTCAGAGTAGCAAGCCTGAGGTTGAGTGGGGCCCCGGTCTTGCCTCCAGGGACCGTGGGCAGGCAGGGGAGCAGCCGCATGCCCGTGGAAGCCCTTCCTGGCTAGACCTCAAGAAGCTCCAGGAAGCAGAGCATGGAGGAGTTCCCAGCGTTTCAGAAGGATTCACTGCATGGTAGGGAAGCCCCTTCCAAAGGTGTCTGGCAGCGGTGCACCGGGTCAGCCCTGCCCAGGACAGGCCATCCGCCCACCCCTACACCCTCACATGAGGGAGCAGAACTATATTCCTAAGACTTCTGCATACCCAGCACTTTAATGAGCCCTGTGGAACCCTCCAAAGGCCCTTTGATGTTACCCTCAGTTTTCAGTTGAAGAATCAGGCCTGCAGGGTGTAAGTCATTTGGCCAAAGTAACCTCTAAAGGCGGTGAAGCCAGGAGGTACTACTGCTCCTCCACCTGAAACCCTCCCAGAGCTGTCCCCCCACCGCAGAAGTAGAAAGCACCAAGCTTGAAGCAACATCTGATCTCCCTGTAGGTACCAGCAGGAAAACATCGAGTCAGAAATGAAGCCTCTAGCCCCGGGAAATCTGACCCACTTCAAAGGCTACCTTGGCGGGCGGTACAAGGTGTGTTTCCCGCCCCCAGATCGAATTCACTGTATTTGACCTTTAGAGGGAAGCTGCTCACACACCCTGAAGTATTCTGGCAAAGGATCTGGTGTCAGCCCCAAATTCCTCTTTGCTGTTGTTAACTGTTTTCTGCAAGTGAAGTGTCAGCAGAAGCCCTAGCACAGAAAAGGATGCTTGGAAATTGGATGCTAAGAGACAGACTCTCCCACAGGCTGTTGGAGGTGCGGAGCTCCCTCTGGTTTTGAAATTGGATCTCACGACGGGTGAAGGACAGTGCTACGGACCTCGTGGGGCCAATAATTTGAGAATTAACTGATAATGTATGCAAACCTCTTCTCTGCTGGCACACCACTTGCTGAGTCAGTGGCTGTTACTGTTGGTGCTGGCGGGAGGGGAGAAGGAAGTCAGCTGCACCCAGCATCTGGATGCTGGTGTTTCATGTCTGTTACTGAGATAATCCTCACGGTAGAAATGACTGTTTTACAAATGAAGAGGTGAAAGCTCCAGAGAGGTTAGGTCACCTGGATTAGGGCCACACAGCCAGGAAGGGACAGAAGCTCAGGGTGCCTGACTCCAAATTCATACACTTTCTACCTCACCATCTTCTCTCCAAAAGAGACAGCCCTTTGTTGGCTTTGTACATAGCACGTGCATGCTCAATTGCTTCAGTTGTGTCCGACTCTTTGCAATCCCATGGGCAGACTCTTCGCAACCGTAGCCTGCCAGGCTTCTCTGTCCATGGGGATTCTCCAGGCAAGAATACTGGAGCGGGTTGCCATGCCCTTCCCAGCCATGGTGAATGACACTTGGCACTCATTTTCACAGCATATCTCATTCATTTATGCTCATTTGAAACTGACTGAGTGCTTGCTATGCACTGGGCTTCCCCTGTGGCTCAGCTGGTAAAGAATCCACCTGCAATGCAGCAGACCCTGGTTCAATTCTTGGGTCAGGAAGATCCCCTGGAGAAGGAATAGGCTACCCTCTCTAGTATTCATGGGCTTCCTTGGTGGCTCACATGGTAAAGAATCTGCCTACAGTGTGGGGAGACCTGGGTTTGATTCCTGGGTTGGGAAGATCCCCTGGAGGAGGGCATGGCAACCCACTCCAGTATTCTTGCCTGGAGAATCCCCAAGGACAGAGGAACTTTGGCATTGAGCTAAGATTTGTCCTCCAATTTCCCAGGCTTCTGGTTCTAGGGAATTCAGCATAGCATCTGGGCGGGGTAGGTGGTACTTTCTCCCCTCTGGCGGGGTAACATGGGCCGCCTGGAGCAGAGATCACACTCAGATCACTGCAGCTCGGAGGGGCCAGGCTGGGGCTCACTCTCCTGGTCTCTATGCTTCTCCAAGCCACTTGTGTCCGCCGTCCGAGCCCTTGGGGCCTGGCTTCCTGGGCAGCTGCATAGAACCCTGCACTTACAAGGGCCCCGCAACTGGTCTGATGCTCTGCCGTAGCCGTCTTTAATTCTTTAACGAGGGCCAGGCCCTTTCATTTCCCACTGGGCCCCGCAGAGGACGTGGCCGATCCTGGCAGCGTCACCACACTTAATCAAGGGCTTTGGAGCAAGACAGCCCGAGGTCTTGCCCCCTGATTCACCCAGTCTGTGACCCAGAGCACTGGCTTTCACCTCTCCGTGCCCCCTTTTCCTCAT